TCCCAAATACCACAAGGTCGATGTCACTGAACACAGAACACACACACGAGTTGTTTGAAGAAGCAAGAAACTATACTTGTTTTAACTTACATTCAAGCTTATAGACTCCAAATTAGTGTAATTAAAACCTATTTCTCACCCTGCCCAATGAACAGTAAGTGTGTTGGTGATGACTGCTTTTTAGAGGGGAGTGGGGGTTGGTGATTTTTAACAACCTCCTCCTCCTAGTCATTTCACACAAGTCAGGCCTCAGAAAAAGATGGTTTTTAAAGAAGTAAAACCTCAAAAAATACCAGTTAGCATTTCCTGCTCATAAAGGTTTCTGGTACCAAAAAACTTAACAGCTTCCTATGTGGATGAGATTACCTGATTAACTGTGACAGATCATTAAGTGTAAAAAGCAAGATGCAGACAGTGTATGTAGTATGCTACAATCAGTGTAAAAAAGGAAGAAAACACACAGGACACACACGTCCTTTGATATGCACAGAATGTCTCTGGAAGGACATGCGAGCAACTGGTAACAGCGGCTCCTCCAAGAAGAGGACCTAGGAGACAAGATGTGGGATCCAGACTCTTCACTGCAATTATTTTTGTGCCCTTTCCAAATCTCAACCATGTGAATCCATTACCTATTCATAAAATTTAACTGAATTTTTTAGAAAGAGTTAACTCAGGGTTTTGCTGAAGCTCAGAACCTAAATAAGGAAAAATATTAATGAACTCAAAGTTGAATATGTTATGGCTTTTGCAGGCCTAGGACAGCAATGCAAAGAATGGAAACCGCTAGGAGCCATCCACTTCAACACATTTTAAGTTTGGGTAAAATAGATCAAAGCAAGCTCAAATCAAAAAAGGTGATGGATGCCTTCAGCTAATCACACCGTACTGTGCACTGAAAAATTTGTTCAGAGTGTAAATCTCACGTTAAGTGTTCTTACCACAGTAAAAATAATAACATAAACATGATAGAATATTTTTCCTTCGTAAAGGCCACAGCATTTCAATTCTTAGAGAACAGGTACTCACCCCTCAGGGAAGCATTACCATCCCCACAAAGGTACCAACCCCCCCAACCCCTGCCAGGGTGTGGGCCAAGACAGCCCTCATTTGGGAATACTGAGATAAGCAAGGGGCTGGAAAAGACCAAGGCCTTCCTCAGAGTTGTACCCTGAATTTCTGAGTCAGGATGCTGAAACAGTAGCTAATAGTACGAATTCTTAATAAAAAATGAGAGAACTGGCATTCCGGAGTATATACAGCTCTACAGTATAATCAAGTGTTTTACCATATTACATTAACCTCTGTGTTAGTAGGTTAAATTATGGGGTTGAATAGTTCTCTGCAGGGTAGTCAATTGCTAGAATTGGTAACTAACCGATTCCACTGCTACATGCTCCCTCTTTTACATCTCTCTGAGATGATACAGAAGATATCTTTATCATCTCAGCTTGATAAGATGATCTGAAGTGATATTCTATCTCAAATAAAATGCAGGTCAGTGAATTTTTGTTTCATAAATCTGTTGTTTCTACTCTTACGCATTCAACAGCCAAAATGAATACACTCTAGGAAAACGCACAATACCTTGAAAGCTTTATAAATGTACTAACCTTGTAGGTAAATACAGGCCAGTTTTAAAACTTCCAAATATCTGGACCTGAAATAGAAAAAATTATTATATTAAAGTATCAGATGAAAAGCCACCAAGCTATGCAGAAATGCTGGTTTTTTGCTACCCTCTGCTGGTACTTTTTAGTACTACAAGAGCATTTTTCATAACACCATGCTTGCATGAAGCGGGGATCCTGTGTCTCATAGGCAGACATTTGGAATATAGTTTAAACTTATTAGGGTCAAATATCAAACACACAGACAAAAACAGAAAACTTTCAAAAGTAATATTCAGGTCACTAATGCTCCCTTATAATCCAGAGATATGATCACAAATCCTTAAGTTTTGTTCTCTAAGCAGGAGTTCAGACAGACAACTGAATGAGGGTCAGACTACTCCAATTGCACGACAAGCACTGGCCTGTAGGCCAACCCACAGAGAACACCAGGCACTGTCATTATAACATCACACTGTGGCATAAAACCATATATCCACATAAAACCACATAAAACCATTCTATCTCAACCCACAGAGAACAGTGGAAGCCTCAGGCAGGCATGTGTATGAACGATGAAAAAGCTCAACCTTTGAGGTGAGATGGACCCGGGAACCTAACCACAGCCGTGTGTTCCTCACCTGTAAAAAAAATATGGATAAAATCCCCCACATCAGAAGGAGGAAGATTAATCTAGATCAGGGTTTCTCAACCTCAGCACCACTGACATTTGGGGCAGATGATTCTTTGTTGTGAGGGGTTGTCCTATGCATTGTATGATGTTTAGCAACATCCTTGGCCTCTATTCACTATATGCCAGGAATACCTCAACAGTCTTGATAATCAAAAATGTCTCTGGGGGACCGGCCCAGTGGCATAGTGGTTAAGTTCACAAGCTCCGCTTCGGCGGCCTGGGGGTTCACAGGTTCAGATCCCAGGCACGGACCTACACACTGCTCATGAAGCCATGCTGTGGTGGCATCATATAAAGTAGAGGAAGATGGGCATGGATGTTAGCCCAGGACCAATCTTCCCCAGCAAAAAAAAGAGGAGGATTGGCAACAGATGTTAGC